TGGAGTACGTGGCATGATCCTGGCTCACTGTAACCTCCGCCTCCCAGGTTCAAGTGATTCTCCTGCCTCAGCCTCCCAAGTAACTGGGATTACAGGCGCATGCCACCACATCCAGCTAATTTTTATATTTTTAGTAGAGATGGGGTTTCACTGTGTTGATCAGGCTGGTCTCAAACTCCTGACTTTGTGATCCACCCACTTCTGCCTTCCAAAGTGCTGGGATTACAGGCATGAGCCACTGCGCCTAGCCTTTTCTAGTATTTTTTGAAGAAAGTAGGGCTAAGCAAAAATTATAAATACAAATCACCAGGAAAAAAACTTGTTCACGTCTGCCATCTATCCTTTCAGTCTTTTACGCATATAAGTTTTCTATTACTATTTTTAAATTTCCCATACTAGTATTTCAGGAACATCATACCAGTAATTAGCCTCCTACAACCTAATTTGTAATGTCTAGCCTCTACCCCATTTTCCCTTTTTTTTTTTTTTTGAGACACAGTCTCACTCTGTTGCCCAGGCTGGACTGCAGCCTCTGCCACCTGGGTTCAAGCAGTTCTCTGCCTCAGCCTCCCAAGTAGCTGGGATTACAGGCATGTGCCACCATGCCTGGCTAATTTCGGTATTTTTAGTAGAGATGGGTTTCACCATCTTGGCCGGGCTGGTCTTGAACTCACGACTTCGTGATCCACCTGCCTCAGCCTCCCAAAGTGCTAGGATTACAGGCATGAGCCACTGTGCCTGGCCTACCTGCCCCACTTTCAAAAAGCACTTTAAGGGTTTGGTCCAAAGGGCAGAGTCCACATCACAGATGGTCTGTTGCTTTGTACAAGTTCCCAGCAGAGTCCCCCCTCAGCTCCTCGCTACAAGTTTGTCTTAGAGACTTTATTTCTATATTTAAAGTACTTTTTTTTTTGAGATGGAGTCTTACTCTGTCGCCAGGCTGGAGTGCAGCGGCGCGATCCTGGCTGTGATCCCAGCACTTTGGGAGGCTGAGGTAGGCGGGTCAGGAGCTCAAGACCAGCCTGGCCAACATAGTGAAATCCCATCTCTACTAAAAATACAAAAATTAGCTGGGTGTAGTGGCTTGCACCTGTGGTCCCAGCTACTCAGGAGACTGAGGCAGGAGAATCACTTGAACATGGGAACCAGAGGTTGCAATGAGCCAACATCGCGCCACTGCACTCCAGCCTGGGCAACAGAGCACAACTCTGTCTCAAATAACAAAAAAATAAAATAAAAAGTACTTTAACAGTGACAAATTCAAGATACCCCAAGGATTAACTGGGGTGGCCACTCCCTAGGCTCCTGCCCTTCAGCATTTCAGGTGACTTTTTGTCTCATCCGCCTTCTCAGGGGACTACATCCCTGGCACAGAGACCCACATGGCGCCAGAGGTGGTGCTGGGCAGGCGCTGCGGCGCCAAGGTGGACGTCTGGAGCAGTTGCTGCATGATGCTGCACATGCTCAATGGCTGCCATCCCTGGACCCAGTTCTTCCGGGGGCCGCTCTGCCTCAAGGTGGGTGCCGGCACCTGGCATCGCCAACAGGGCCCTGGGGCCCAGGCTGCAGGCTTGAGGGGCTGCTCTGTGGGGGCAGATGGAGCAGGGGGAGGCCTGGTCATCTATGTGGGATCCTAATTCAAACACTTACCACCCAAATCTGAGGGGTACAAGGGAGATCCAGCTGCGGGAGCTCACCGAGTTTATCGCAGGTGAGAGCTCTCTTCTGTCCATACCCTGGACTCCCCTCCCATGGGCATCTGGCTGCCTGGCCCTGGCCTGTTTCTACTGGCTCCATTTTTCCCTTTCTTAGGAAAAGTGTCCTCACTGCAGCCTCCATTCCTTGAGCTAGACCCCAGCACAGCAGGAGCAGGGGCCAGTGGGGGTTGCACAGAGCAATAACAGCCGGGTACCCGGAAATGAGGGAAGGCAGACCTCACCTATTGTCTTCTACCCCCCAGATTGCCAGCGAGCCTCCACCTGTGAGGGAGATCCCACCCTCCTGCGCCCCTCTCACAGCTCAGGCCCTCCAAGAGGGGCTGAGGAAAGAGCCCATCCACCGCGCATCTGCGGCAGAGCTGGGAGGGAAGGTCAACCAGGCACTACAACAAGGTAAGGAGAGCCCTGCGCTGGCTGACCTGGGGGCGGGAGGCGGACAGCCATGATGGAGAGAGGAGGCAGATGAGTGCAGGTCCAGAGCAAGGCACCCCTCAGAGCCTTAGTTTCCCCTCTGGAGTATGGGGGTGCAGCAACCTCAGGGTTGTTGGGAGATTTCGGCAGTGCCACGCCTTGACCCAGAAGCAGCACTCAGGAGATGGGGAGAGAAAACACACACAAACCCAAAGTGCTTTTTCTGTTCTCCCACTCAACTACAATCGACCCAGAAGATTCCTGTGACCACATGTGTGGAGATTTCCTCGCACCAAGCCAGCAATCAGTTCAGCAGACACCAGCTGGGTGTCCTCTAATTCAGTTCTGTTCCAATACCACAGGAGGGCTCAGTCCCCAAGACGGCCCCTGCTTCCCATGCCAGTTGCAGGCCCCACGTGTTTACCTGTGCTTCTGACCAACTGGCTGTAAATCAGGGACCCAACGACTCCCTCCTTGGGATCGATTAATTTGTGGACTGGCTCACGGAACTCAGGGAAACCCTTCCTTACATTTACCAGTTTATTAGAAAGGATATTACAACAGGTACAAATGAAGAGATGCAGAGGGCAAGGCGTGTGTGAGGGGGCGTGGAACTCCAGGGCTCGCTACCTTCCAAGAGCCTCCATGTGCCCAGCTACCAGAAGCTTCTGAACCCTGTCCTCTTGGGGCTTTTGGGTGTTTGTGGAGGCTTCATTACGAAGGCATGATTGAATAAATCACTGGCCATTGGTGAACAGCTTAAGCCTCAGGGCCCTTCCCTCCAGTATGTGGGATGGTAGGATGAAAGTCCCAACCCTCTAATCCTGCCTCTGCCTCTCTGATGACCAGCCCCCATCCTGAAGCTACCTACGGGCTGCCAGCCTCCAGGCAGCCCATTAGCACATAAAAAGAGATCACTTTAAAGACGAAGGCTTTTAGGAGTTATATACCAGAAATGGGGTTAAAGACAAAATATATGTTTACTAGTATCACAAGGGTTATGATGTGTAAAGGGGACTCAAACTCACTAAGAATCCAAGAATGCAAAATAAAGCCAGGCCTGAGGCATTGGCTCACACCTGTAATCCCAGCACTTTAGGAGGCTGGGGCAGAAAGATCACTGAGGCCAGGAGTTCAAGATCAGCCTGGGCAACACAGCAAGACCCTTTCTCTGCAAAAAAAGGAAAGGGAAAAAAAATTAGCCAGGCATGGTGATGCATGCCTGTAGTCCCAGCTACTCAGGAGGTGGGAGGATTGCTTGAGCCTGGGAGGTCGAGGCTACAGTGAGCCGTGATTGCCCCACTCCACTGCAGCCTCGGCAACAGAGTGAGACCCTGACACAAAAAATAAATAAGGCCAGGTAACACTCGAGAGCTATTCGACTGGAAAAAAGCAGAAAGTTGGTGGAATATGGGGCTGTTGGGACCCCTCAAGTCCTGCTGATGGGCATGTGGACAAGGCTACCCACTCTGGAGGGCACCAGACCAGGGACCTCTAGCCCTGGGTGCACTGGCAAAGGAATGCCAGCAGATCCCTACGGGGACACGCCCGAGGATGTGCATACAGCTTCCTTTGTGGGAGGGGAGCAGGGTGCGACAGGTCCCTCACTGGGAAGATGGAGACACAAAAGGTGGAGGAAGCTGCATGCAGCGCCACGCAGTTAAAGCAATGGGTGTTCACAGAGCAGCACGGACGGCTCCTAAAGCCGCGGTGCTGAGTGAAAAGAACCCGACACAGAATGGGACCCAGAACATAATGCCTGTTTGGCACACTAAAAATAGATCAATAGCCAGGCATGGTGGCACGTCTGTAGTCCCAGCCACTCAGGAGGCTGAGGTAGAAGGATCGCTTGAGCCCAGGAGTTGGAGTCCAGCCTGGGCAACATGGTGAGACCTCATGTCTGAAAAATAATAAAAATGGATAAATAAAACAACACACATTTTGCAAGGATACAACCAATCAAAAATGACACATCAAACATAATAGAATAACACCTCAGGGATGGTACAGAAAGGCCGTGGTTATAGGAATGACAACGAAATAAAGAAAATCAGATCTTGCACCTCCCCAAAGACAGCTGGTAGTGATAATGATGATGGTGGTCCCAGGGCTGCGCTCTCCCCACGCCAGGACAAACAGTGCCAGGGGAAACACTGACCGAGGATGGGGCAAGAGAGGCCGTGGTTCCAGGAGGCCACTTTGTCTGGGAACTCGAGTTAGTGTAGCCCCAGGGCTGTCTTTCAATCTTCTCTTTCTTGTTAACGAAGTCATCTGGGACTGATTCTATAGTTTTTGAATTTGCTACTGTTACCTAAAAGGAAAATGGAATCAAAGACAGAAATACAGTCCTATCCCTGTTACATTGGGACCATCTTATTCAGGAAGCCTCCTGTGGAGACCACCACGCTGCCCTCCGAAGTCACCTCCCATGGTGGCCCGAGGCAGGGTCTCTCCTCTCTTCAACTCCAGCCTGCTGCACTCAGGAGAGGCTGCTCCTGCCTGGCCCACCACCTGTGCACAGCACGCTTCCCCTCACCAGTGTCCTCTCTGTTTTCTAGTGGGAGGTCTGAAGAGCCCTTGGAGGGGAGAATATAAAGAGCCAAGACATCCACCGCCAAATCAAGCCAATTATCACCAGACCCTCCATGCCCAGCCAAGGGAGCTTTCGCCAGGGGTCCCAGGGCCCCAGCCAGCCAAGGAGACAACAGGCAGAGCCCCTGAGCTCCAGCCTCCTCTCCCACTAGAGCCTCCAGAGCCAAACAAGTCTCCTCCCTTGACTTTGAGCAAAGAGGAGTCTGGGATGTGGGAACCCTTACCTCTGTCCTCCCTGGACCCGGCCCCTGCCAGAAGCCCCAGCTCACCAGAGCGGAAAGCAACCTTCCCGGAGCAGGAGCTGCAGCAGCTGGAAATAGGTATGGGCAGCCGTGGTTGCAGCCCTGAGCACTGACCCTGGGCTGCCCCCGGAGGCCAACGCGTCTCCTCTTTACCCACGGTATAGACTTCTTCCAGCCCCTTCCCCAGCAGCTCAACTTCTACAGACTATGCAGGAAGAACCCCTGAAAACACAGCCAGCCTCCTCCCAGTCTTTCACAGCCATCTTCCACTTTTCCCTGCAGAATTATTCCTGAACAGCCTGTCCCAGCCATTTTCCCTGGAGGAGCAGGAGCAAATTCTCTCGTGCCTCAGCATCGACAGCTTCTCCCTGTCAGATGACAGCGAGAAGGTGAGCGGGTTGTGGCCCAAGATCCATGGCTCCAGGGGTGTGGTTCCCCTGGCCCGGGCACAGAGCAAGTAGCTTTGTGTCCAGCTAGTGAATGGACTCTGTGCAAGTAGTGGGTAAAGGGAGGGTGATGGGTGTCACCCCTTCCTTCTGGGAGGGGTCCTCACTAGGGTGGGGCAGGTGGTCATGGTTTCTCAGAGTGAGAGAAACCATGGAAATATACCCTCCTGGGATTAATGAATGTATTTTGCTACCAGAGATAGTGGGGAAGCAGGCCTTGGTCCCCCATGGTGGCAGCTGAGGGCATGAGCAGCTCGTCACCCCTGGAGAGCCCAGGGCCCCTTTGCCCCAAATGAGACCCAACTGGAGATGGACCCCGGAGCCCAAGGGCATAAGTCCATGCCCACCCTTGTTGTTTCAGAACCCATCAAAGGCCTCTCAAAGCTCGCGGGACACCCTGAGCTCAGGCGTACACTCCTGGAGCAGCCAGGCCGAGGCTCGAAGCTCCAGCTGGAACATGGTGCTGGCCCGGGGGCGGCCCACCGACACCCCAAGCTATTTCAATGGTACAGTCCAACTCTCACCTGTTCAGCAACCCCCGTGGCAGCTGATCTGCCTGGAGCTAGACAGCCATTGAGGGATTGTGGCTCCCCTCCCCTGGCACAGTTGGGGAGAGGAAGGCCCCTGGTCCCAGAACTTGAGGTTCCTGGCCAGTAAGTTGGGTTTTGAGCCAAGGTCCTGATCACCCAGGAGCCCTTCCTGATAGGGCAGTGAGGGACCATTATCCCTGCACTGGTTGCTGATGGAGTCCCAGAAGGCCCCACTAGCTTGGGGAGGAGAGCAGTCTCTCTTGACCTGAAGTCAGGAAAATGGGCAATTAATCACTTCTAAAGGGAAAAGGAATGGGACCCATGAGCGTTTTCATCAAAAACTCAGCAAAAGGAATTCCTCTGTGGGATTTGAGGTCAGATGAGAAAGACAACGTAATTCCTTCATTTTCACGCTTGATTGCATACGTTACGTTGTGACTGCTAGACAAGGCCTTCATCAGCTCGGAGCTCTCTGGCCCTCTCCAGGGCAATGTGATTCATGGCATCAGGCCCCCATGGCTGGCCAAAGGCCACTTCAACTCGGGGAGCAATCTAAGCTGCTCATAATCTAAGACTCTTTATGTTCAGTTCCTTTCTGCTTTGCATCCAAATTGAAATACAATTTCCCCATAGGAGCCAACCCCAGCTCTTCACAATGTTCAGGCCGAATACCCAGCGTTGACAGCCAGGAAGAACTAGCAGGTGTATAACTTTAGAGCTATCCCGGCCTGAATTTTTTTTTTTTTTTTCTTATAAAATGCAGCTGTGTGGCTGGGTGTGGTGGCTCATTCCTGTAATTCCAGCACTTTGGGAGGCCGAGGCAGGTGGATCACGTGAGGTCAGGAGTTGGAGACCAGCCTGGCCAACATGGTGAATGCCATCTCTACTAAAAATACAAAAATTAGCTGGGTGTGGTGGCACATGCCTATAATCCCAGCTACTCAGGAAGCTAAGGCAGCAGGAGAATCACTTGAAGCTGGGAGTCAGAGGTTGCAGTGAGCCGAGATCGTGCCACTGTACTCCAGCTGGGACGACAGAATGAGATTCCGTCTCAAAACAAAACAAAAAAATGCAGCTGTGCTTAGACCAGCCTAAATTTCATCTCTGCTGCTTCGTCATAGCCAGACCTGCTCCCCCGCTTACATAGGACAGAATGACTTTTAACAAAAAGGTTCCCCAGCCCCTGCCAGGACCCTGGTCCTTGGGGAGCCAGCAGCTGCTCTCCTGACTGTCACCTTGCCTGCCTTCCAGGTGTGAAAATCCAAATACAGTCTCTCAATGGTGAACACCTGCACATCCGGGAGTTCCACCGAGTCAAGGTGGGAGACATCGCCACTGGCATCAGCAGCCAGGTAAGGGGCAGGTACACTCTGACAGGCAGAGACCCAGAAGCCAGTGTACCTGTCCCCACACTCCAGGAGAAAGGCTTTCAAAGTAGAATAGCACTCTAGGGAATCGCTGGACTTGGCCTCAGACGTCCCCCAGGGCCTCAAAGCAAGAGTGGCAGGTGGAGATGTCCTCCAGATCCACCTTGGGCCAAGTGGGATTCTCTGAGCCTCTGGAATGACAGACACACAGTGCTTTTAGGGCCCCCAGTCTGGCTGGAGGGAGATGTCTTTACCTTTCTATGTGGCTTCTGAGCCCCATGCCATGCCCTCAGCCCACTGGTTTGCTCCACCTTTAGATCCCAGCCGCAGCCTTCAGCTTGGTGACCAAAGACGGGCAGCCTGTTCGCTACGACATGGAGGTGCCAGACTCGGGCATCGACCTGCAGTGCACGCTGGCCCCCGACGGCAGCTTCGCCTGGAGCTGGAGGGTCAAGCATGGCCAGCTGGAGAACAGGCCCTAGCCCTGCCCTCCGCCGCCGGCTCCACACTGCCGGAAGCAGCCTTCCCGCTCGGCGCACGATGCGGCCCTGAATCACAGGCTCAGCCACTCCCAGGGATCTGCCAACCCCTGGCTCAGCAGTGGGACCAGAAGCTGGCAGCAGCAAGGTGGGGGTGAGCAGAACGCCTCCCAGGATTTCCCACCTGAGTCCTGCCCCACCCTGCTGGGAAGACACTCTGTCTGCCACTTGAGGAGACAAAGGAGGACGGCAGGAGTTCCCTTGGGGAACAAACAGGGTCTTCTCTGCCCTGCTCCCGTCGAGTTGGCCTGACCCGCTTGGATCAGTGACCATTTACTGGCAGACGGGAGGGCAGCTTCTAGCCTGGGTCAGAAGGGGTGGGCGAGCCCCTTAGCCCCTCACCCTCCAGGCTGGCGTGAGGGTGTTGAGTGTGTAGGGGTTCACACTCAGGTTCAGTGCAGAACCAGGGCAGAAGGTATGCCCACCTGTATGTTAAGGAGCCCTCTCACCCCCTTGCCTGGCCTCACCTGGCCAGCTCACCCCTCTTGGGTGTAGAGGAAAGGAATGTGTGACCCTGGGAGGGCTCCCTGGTAGAATACAGCGCAGTTCCAGGTTGTGGCAACACAGGTTCTGAGTTGACCTCTGGTTCAGCGAAGGGCCAAAGCAGCTGTGTTAGTGACACGGTTCTTAGTCCCAAACACGTGCCCCTGTGCTTCGGGCTACCACTCTGCCCCAGAGCAGCAGCCCAAGCCCCTGCAGGCCCAGCGCTGCCCCTGTCTCGCTGGCGCTCCGTTCCCTCATCTGTAAAGGAAAAAAAGGTGATGGGATGCGCCTGATGGGAGCAGTCTGCAGACGGACACGGTCAGTGCTGAAGAAAGCAGACCAGAGACACTCTGGCGCCCCAGCCCCACTCTCAGTCTCCAGAGTGCCAGTCCCCCAGAGCACAGCTCAGCCTCACACTGGCATTCACCCTGCCCTGCCCCTGGCCGGAGGGTACTGCCGATGGCACTTTGCACTCTGATGACCTCAAAGCACTTTCATGGCTGCCCTCTGGCAGGACAGGGCAGTGGCTCTGCCACAGCACCACAGGCCAGGAGGTGGGGTGAAGGGACACAGTCTTGAGTTGTCCACATGCATGTGACCCCTCAGACCTCCTCCAGATTTCTCTAAGAATAGCACCCCTTCCCCATTGCCCCAGCTTAGCCTCTTCTCCAGGGCAGCTGTTCAGGACTCACGTAGCATTAAATCTGTGAATCGTCCAGGGGTGTCTGCTAGCCTCAACCTCCTGGGGCAGGGACACTGAGACTCCATGGGAGGCTCATCCCCACATCTTGCCAAGGCAGCCTTTGTCCAGCTGTCCACATCGAGCCAGACTGCTCCCCGGGGGAGAGCCCAGCCCCAGCACATGAAGAACTGCAGCCTTGGCACTGCAGAGTGTGGGTATTGTGAGCAATAAAGTTTGGGGTGATGACAGATGTTTCCAGCCAATGGGAGTCCTCACTCTTGCCTGCTGGTGCTGAACCTCATGGCCTTATCAACTGCCTCTTTGCCTTCTTGGTGAAATCTTTTCAAGTCTTCCCCTTGTTTTGCACAAGGACTGTTTGGGCCTTTGAGTGGGGCTGCTTTCCCAGCGCCCCTCCCAGTGTCCCGTCCCACCTCTGGGCTATCCATTCAGACCAGTTAGGCAAGATGCCTTGACCAGTGGCATCAGAGAAGTCCCTGGTCAGACACTACCAGGCCTAGGGGTGGAGGAGGAGGAGGACACCAAAGATTGCCCACTTGGTACCACTGCCCAGCAGGCACCTGTGCCACCAGAAGGGAAACAGGGATGGGTTCTGGACTCTGAACAGCCATAGATGCCGGATGCACACCACGGGCCTCCCACCCTCCCTTCCTGCCCTTGAGGC